TATTCCGATGTGTGCAGCGCATTTTGCGGAGGATGAGGACTGTTTCCTGTGAGAGTAGCCTACAATACCGGTGTCTGTTTCTATAAAGTGAGGCAGTTCCAACTTTATGTACATTATATGGAAAATTATGTGTTTTTAAACCTTAAACCGCATAAACACATTTCATTACACCAAATACACAAAATAATGTTATTTTTAGCAACGTCATGTGACCCCTTTAAGTTATTTTCTTGTGTTAAATAGAAACTGAATGTTAACATACTACAAAAAAATGATATATTGACAGCATTAATAAGAAACAGAATAATGTTTGTCTTTTAAGTATTTTTGTAGTAAATCAGCTCAAAAGTGAAATATGTATGACTAATTATAACTGGTTATGATTAATAATAAATATTTAGATTAGATCTTAGAATTAACTGTAGCAGAATCAATATTACAATTATTTGATCTGTCCGTCCACCGAGCAGACAATATAATCATTCATCAATTCAAGGAAAGATTATTTTCCTGGCCAAGAAAGAAAGAATAACTTTCCTGCATACAGTACTAGCATTAACTTAGCATGTAGCAAGGGATCGAACATTCAGTGACTTCGAATTGTGAGCAGCACACAGAGACAATTAATTGTGAATATAAGGGATTTAATAAATGAAACTATATCTAACATATATTCTGTAATAAATTTAATTGAGTTAATTAAAGGCCATGGATATTTTCATATTTTAGCTGATTAATGACTGTGTGGGTGTGTGGAGAAGGGGGGGTGTGCGTGCGTGCGTGCGTGCGTGCGTGCGTGCGTGCGTGCGTGCGTGCGTGCGTGCGTGCGTGCGTGCGTGCGTGCGTGCGTGCGTGCGTGCGTGCGTGCGTGCGTGCGTGCGTGCGTGCGTGCGTGCGTGCGTGCGTGCGTGCGTGCGTGCGTGCGTGCGTGCGTGCGTGCGTGCGTGCGTGCGTGCGTGCGTGCGTGCGTGCGTGCGTGCGTGCGTGCGTGCGTGCGTGCGTGCGTGCGTGCGTGCGTGCGTGCGTGCGTGCGTGCGGGGTGTGTGTGCGTGCGTGCGTGCGTGCGTGCGTGCGTGCGTGCGTGTGTGTGTGTGCGTGCGTGCGTGCGTGCGTGCGTGCGTGTGTGTGTGTGTGCGTGCGTGTGAGTATGTGTGCGTGTGTGTGAATGTGTGTGCATGTGCAGGGTGTGCGTGTCTGTGTACAGAACATTGTCAACTGGCCTGGGCGCAGATCCCCCTCCTGCTCAGTGATTTGAACTGTTGTATATACTAAACTAACTGGGAATTTGGGAAATGAAATTAACCGTTTACTTCATCCTGATACCTTTACTTGCTACTGGAATATGTTTCCCAGATTCCATCTCTGTAGAATCTCTCTAGCTAGCTGGTTTAGCTCGCTGCTAGCTACTGTGAACTTATGCTAATGTTATAACCTCCAGTAGTCCACATTAACACCCATTTCTCATTATAGCATATATTGTCCCTTGTCATTAGACTTATAAAGTCCCTAAATACATATTTCCTCCATTTGAAAACTGTCCCAGATTACCCAAAGCATGCTGTCCCACATTCTCAATCATATTTAATAATGTGGGACAACAAAAAAATGTTTTAAAAGAAAAAATACTAAAACACATTTTCAACACTTTAATACATATTTTGTTGCTTGAATAGATCACAAACATAATTTGACAACAATTAGGAACATTGTATTATGACAGATTTATGTCCTTAACATTAATCTAGTCAGAATCCTATGTCACTGACCTTGTCATGCAATTCCCAGGGGAGCTTCTTGATTGACAAGTGCCCCGCCCCTTTCTGTGGAATCAACCCAATGAAGTCATGTGTTTTCAGTCACATGACATCTATGCTAAAATTATAGTAAAAGTCCTGTTGACTAAATTTTGTTAGAACAGGAAATGAACACACTGGAGTTTAGGTGTCCCAGATTACCCGAATTCACCCTAACTAACTAAGCAAAACACATATATACAGAATGAAGCAAAGTAAGGAAAAGAGAGAGAAGAGCAAAAGAATGGCAGTATTTCACATCAATTAACCACAACATAATGAGAATCATCAAAGAATCAAAAATCACCTTAAAAGGGGCTGAAACTTAAACACGCATAGTTGTAAACGGTTACTTGCATTGGCTTCGTTGCTGAAACAAGAGTCCTGATGCGGTAGACAACGGTTCTTGATAAGTTATTTTAGAAGTGAGCTGGAAGTTTACTTCTGGTTCTTCTGAAGATAGGAAAGTCCACAGCAGATCGACAGAGTTACTTGAAGATGAAAAACTGCCGGAAAATCAAACTTAAGAGGAGAGTTTGAGGAGTCTTTTAAAGTGTTGTCTCAAAAGAAGAGCTTTTCTGAGCAGAGATTAGCCTGAGCTAATGACTTTCATAGTTCCTATCCACACCCACCTTTTGGGTGGAATAGCCAATACCAAGCGTGAAATTTTGAGCGGGAGAAGTTTTCTTTGTCTCCCTTTATGGCCGGTCTGGAGGATTGGTGCAGTTTTACCCAAAATATAGTACCAATCGTATGATGCATTTCACAATCACATACTGTACATCATTGTTTGAGGAATAAAGAGCAGATGATATTGATACCAAGAAAGAAATATTTAGAAGATATTAAACCAGAGATATATTCATACACCTGAATATCAGCGTTTAGGGCTTAACTAATACAAATAACGAGTGGTAACTCAGCTAATCTAATAGGGAAACATACAAACAGCACATGCATATACCAGCTACATTTGTAACTGATTAATTATTGTCTAAATAAAGAAAAGGTCTACATGTGTGTGTGTGTGTGTTGTGTATTGTGTGTATAGTGTAGTTTGCAGGTCCGCCAGGCCCATTGGTGGCTGACCCCGGGGGTCATTTACATCTCTTTGGAATGTGTTTGAAGTCAGATGGGGAGATGCGAGTGGTGGAGCTGTTTAACATCTCCTTGATAGTGAGGGGAACCATTGGCAATTTAGCACCCATATAAATGTAGCATGTGGGGCCATGTCTGTAATTTATATGCAAATGTCAAAAGGCTAAAATGGGTCTCTAAGACATAAAACCCCAAAGACCATCCATGATTTTACGCAGACGCTACAATTTTTTCTTTTCTTTCTCTCACTAACTTGGTTCTGCTGAATATTCAAAGAAAGACAATTTCATGCCAGACATTTCTGGAAAGACCTGAAGCTCTTTCAGCAGCAGCTCTCCGTTGGAATAGACTTGATTTTATTAGTGCAAAAGCACTCTTGACTGTTGTGTACTGAAGATAACAAACACTTTTCTGAAATCTTGCTGCAAAGTTGCATTATGCAGACAGCTAAACTGAAAACCATTATTTGGACCACAAAGGTAAATCCAGACTTTGTGAGGAACATGTTCCCTTAATCGAAACCATCCCCCTCAAGGTTTCTGAGAGACAGCAGTGTCATTCTGACTGTGAATTTGATGTTTAACAACAGTGTTGAAAAGACCCTCTGTGATACCCTCTGTGATATTGATTGGCCTCAAGATCTACGCAGCCCTATGAATCCAAAGTCCGATGCCACCTCACTGAATCCCACTACAAAGACTGTGGAGCAGAGGGGATGATGGGTGTCAGGTGGTGCAAGGTTTTCAATAAGATCAATGTTTGCCTCAGACTCTCTGACAGCAGACAGTAGGCACGTTTCCATTACCCTTCAAATTGCGCAAATTGAAATTGCGAATTGAAAATACGCTTAATGGAAACGTGTCAATTTCACAAAAACGCCCATATATTGCAAAAAAGTTTTTACGCTCACATAAGGTGGTTTTTCAGGCAATGCGAAAAATGATTAATTCGCAAAACTGCAATGGAAACGGCTTTTTCGCATTTACAGGTCACATGGCGTATGTAAAAAGTAATATGATCATTCTTCAATGTACTATAACCTCCAAGAAACACTTCATAAGTGGCCGCGCTCCAGTATAAGGGGCTTTCCCTGCTATTAATACTTAGACAATTTACATTGCACACGTCTGTGGTGCAGTGTGGCTCTGATACGGCCACTGAAGCTGATTACGGCCACTCAATGCTTGTGTTTGTTTTTATACAGTCTATGGTTTATTCCAGCCGAGCCACGCATGTCTCTGAAGCGGCTCTCTTTGCTGTTTTATAAAAGATACACGCATAAGCCTCCTTTGAATAAATATAGCCAAAATCCGTCAAAATCCCACCAAAATCCGTTGCCATGACTTATCGCGAGAGGCAAAAGGTTACGTTTTAGCCGCATAACATTGGTTAATGGAAACGCCATCATTTCGCAATACTTTTTTATCGACATTCAGAAAATATCGCCAAAGTTTTGCGCAAATCTGTAATGGAAACGCGCCTAGTGTTGTCTAGCTTTGTATTGATATTTACTCGAAATCCTGTGCAGCTTGTAATTAATTTATGATTTATATTAGTTCTGTGTGGGTTCTCAGAGACCCCAAGGCTGTTTAAATAGCTCAAAAAACATACTTAATAAAGAATCGGGTTGAATCTGATTATAAGGAAAATTTCAAAAACATGCATCAGACAAAGCTGCACATTATATTTATATATATATAAAATCTTTCTTTATTATTGGCACCAACACAACTGCTCAGTTCATTTTTTGATGTTTGCTCGTCTGATATTTCTGCCGTGTCCACACAGCGATTGGGCTTTATATGCCCAAAGTGCTTAAGTTTTTTGCCCATACCAAAATGCATGTTAATAGAAAGCTAAGAGCTTTAGGAGAGTGCTCTGCTGTCATGGCACGACACCACCTCCAGTGTTTCTAATTAGCTTATTTGGCCGGATCTGAAACGGTACGTCTTGTTAGAAAAAGCAGGAATTTGACATGAATTGGATATCTAAAGCCTGTGGAATCTATCAGGCTGACATGGTGCATTGTGCTGTTGACTTCACATGATGTCTAAAAGTGGTTGTTTTTCATAAGTCACGCATGTTTTTTTTTCTTTCCCTCTCTCTCAGGGACTCAAACCAATGGATCACAATGGGCTGTCAGATCCCTATGTTAAGCTGCACCTGCTGCCTGGAGCTAGTAAGGTATGTGCCTGCTCTCCCCCTTGGAGATGCATTGTTTTATACAATGCAAGGAGGCTTGTAATTATATGATTTATATGTTTTAAGGCAGTGGTTCTCAACCAGAGGGCTGGGACCCATTAGGGGGCCTCAAGAAAATCCCTAGGGGGGCCACAGAATGACTTAAAATGATTCAGATTAATATATTATTATGAATAAAATATATATTCATATTATTATTTGTGCATCTCTAGACTCTAACACTTTAGCATCTCGTTTGCAGTGTAGACACATTGCACTGCGATAGCTTATTTTATTCTATTCTACTCTGTTTTCAGAACAAGCTCTACCTGTAGTACAATCCAGTTAAAATTACATTTTAAATCACATCAGTAACCTTCGGTAACACATCAGATGGAAGGTTACTTGTGGGAGGTGCCTGTGTTTTTTGTGCATTTTGTTTTAAATAACGAAAGGATGGATGCAGGCTCAAAAATCATAATGAGACAATACAACACAACTTCTTTACTTCAGACTCTTGAGCCTGAGGTATTCAACTTCAAATTAACTCTTAAAAGCACTCTTTTATACCAACTCTTTCTGTCCCAACATGAGTCTAGAGTACATGAATCAAACTGGCCAGTGCAACATTGAAATCTAAATTGCCACTTTTTTTCTTGTCACTGAACAACCTCTGTGCTCTACAAATTATCATCATGCTTCTCATTATAATTCATCTGTTTTTGACCGGTACCCTCCTTGCTCATCCTGCCAACAATCCACTTAGCTACTGACAACATAAGACTCCTCTAAGTCATTCTCCTTCTGTTTGGATCATATGTCCTACAGTACAGCTAAACTCTCCTTCACAGGGTTACAGGGTAATTGAATGGGATAGGATATCTGAGTTAACCCTTTAGGATTAGGAAGCACCTCAGAGATGTGCCAGAAGACCTAGGCGTTAATCGCACCGTGAGGAATTTTTTACTTTTTCCGTGCACTGGCTACAACATAGGACACTCTTTTCTTCTCCTTTTTCAATAAATGGTGCAAGAAGGTGCTTGAGATTCATAAAATGATGATCGCCAACCTTGGAAGGTCAAACTAAATATTATATGAGCTGTTTTATTTTCTATTCATTCTAAATGAGGTTTGCCATTTTGCAACCCTGTTATCAGAATGTGGTACATGTCTAATACAGAATTTAAAGCACTAATTCATGTAATTTTATTATAAAAATATGAACAGTGTCAAATCTTGAAGGTCTGGCTTCTTAGCTTCTACGAGCAAATCTGTCATCTCTTCCAGGCCAATAAGCTCCGCACCAAGACCCTACGCAACACTCTCAACCCTGTCTGGAGTGAGACCCTGACGTATTATGGGATAACTGATGAAGATATGGTTCGCAAAACACTCAGGTACCCAATCATAATCTATACTTGGTGAGAATTTTATATGTCAAGGCCTCTGTAAAATTCAAGAAGTCGACAATTGTGTCTGAACGCTCACTATTTGTGTTGGGCTGCCACTGGCACATAACAGTAGCTTATCTATCGTAAAGAAGTAATTTGGTTGTTAGTAACTAAAGTTAACAAAGGGATGGTTACCAAGAAAGAAGCATTCACTACATATTGAGAGGAAAAACATTGTTCCTATGGCGTATTAAGTGGAGTCAGAAGAAAAGGAAAACGGAGAAGGTGGCACGCGAAGCAAACCAACTTAATAAGTTTAATGAGGGCTTTTCAAAAATGTCAGTGGTGATTGAACTGAGATCCTACTTCAATGAGGAAAAAGAGAGAATGTAGATGTTTTCTTAATTAAGTGTCCATGGTTACATGATTTCCCATGATCCAGTTGTAATTGGGTGTGTCAGGCCCACACCAGGCCCACATGCAGTGCTAAGTCTGAGACATACAGTAATTACAAGCTGAACAACCATTTGCCTTCAACAGCTTCAATGATTCTTGGATCGCTGCCATACAAGTACTGAATAGAGTGTAGTGGGATGTTATGGCATTCATCAAAATGAAAAGCGTCCAGTTGAAGGACCGGTGAAGGAGGTCGAAATTTACTTCTCACCCTGTCCTCCAAAACTGATCTGTTTAGATCTGATGGTTGGGGTGTTTATGAAACCTCTCTGTTCCTGTGCAGATTCATCAGCACTCTGGAATATAGCAGTATATTGAGAGAACAATGTTTGCTTTATCCTGTAAAATGGCATTATATTCCTTGGACATTATGTGACCCTGCAGAGCAATTATCAGGATCTAAAAACTCCAATTAGCTGGCTGCTGATACCATTACAGTTTCCTCAACATTCTTAACTGTTGCCAACAGAAACAGGGGAACAGAGAGCATCCAATTGTTTTCGCCAATGTTTTGGGGTGTAAAAAGTAGGGTGAGTGATATGCGCTGACCTTGGATACGAGTGGGCTTTTATTTTAGACGGATGCTAATTCAATTAGCATCTATCTTTGGATAGGCATTTGGATATGTGGGGTAGTAACTGTCAATATGGAAAGAAATCAGATTCAAATAAAAAGTTGTTTTTAAATGTATGAAACACAAAATTTACACTCAAAAATAGTTAAATAATGTGTAAGACATTTTACACAAACATTTTACAGTTTTTGTTACCTGACTCTTTATCAGGGGTGTGAAGTAACGAATTACAAATACTCACGTTACAGTAATTAAGTAGTTTTTATCAGTAATTGTACTTTTTTGAGTAGTTTAAAAATTGTGTGCTTTTACTTTTACTTGAGTACATTTTAAGTGATGTATGAGTACTTTTACTCCGCTATTTTCCTTTAATTAAATTTTTTATCCATCAACGTGATTGGATAGAGAGATAGTAATAGGTCTCGTGACTTTCGTCAAATCAAATTGTGCATAGAAAACTTTAACCGCCGACTGTTTATCATGGCTGCTGGAAGCACATTCTTCAAGCATCAATTTAGTCACATCTTCCTCTATGTTAAGGTAAATTTCGGATTTCTGCTTACTAAATGATTTGTATATATGCTTGCCTATCTACACGGCCTGAAATTTGGTGTGAGGTTGTGGGTATTGCGTACAGTGTTAACTCCCGCAAGTGCCACCTTCGGTAAATTGCCACTCACTTATGAGACAGCCTCGTCTCTCTCTCGCGTGCGTTCTGCAGCGGTCACTTGGATAAGTCATTGTTGAACTTGTTGACTTTTGATGAGTTTGAGCGCGTGATGCGCGCTGTGAAAAAGTGTGTTGGAAACACAAATTGAGGACCAATCTGCACCTTATCGATGACCCGTATATAGGCTATTGCCTAATATAGGCTACTGCATCTGTGCCAGCGCGTGATGTAATAAAACTGCAGCTCATTAATAAACAGGTTTTTTTTATATCCATTTTATACAATCCGCCTTCATTTAGCAA